ATGGTACAAGTGGGAACGTTTTTGTTTATCAGATGAAAAGAGTTAATGTTCTCTTACCTTTCCCATACATAAGTGGGGCTTACAACGCTAGAAGCCGGGTTTCGATACCCGTGGTGGGCAGAGCACAGATAGCCCAATGCGTAGCTATGTGCTTAATTTCATTGAAGCATAGCTTCCAGAAATTGTTTCTATTAAGCGCAAAACTACATAGTGGACTATCTGTGCTGTACTTACGCGAGTATCGAAACCCAGTATTTGGTGTTATAAGCCTTCATACTTACTGCTGGGCCACTAGGGGAGGCGCTACATATGAAGTTATTTAAAAAATACATTATTTTTTTATTCGTTGACGAGGAACCCACTTTGAGACTAATAATAGCTGGAGACGGCTTGAATGGGTAATGAAGAAAAACTAATATAAGTTTAATATAACAGCAAATGTACAACGTTTCGACAAGGTTTTTGTCATCATTACCCATTCAAGCCGTCTCCAAACATTATTTTTTAGTTGTTTATTTTTACACGATCATAGTAGAAAAACTGAATACAACATGTAAATATGTAGTTACGCGCACTTACCGTTTCAGCAAACAACAATAACTTTATCTTTCGTCACTCATATCCTTCACAAAGTCCCAAACGGAACTCAATCTATATTTTATTTTGACGTTAAAGTACTAAATACATATTGAATTTTTTTTTCACAAAGATCATGTCAATCTCGTATGGAGTATCTGGGATAGACTTGCCGTTATTACTGTGTTATACTCTTCTATCTTATGGTTTTCTGTATGATTTTAAATTATACAATGGTGGTTCAATCTGAGGTTACTATAAAATGTTCAACTGACAGTTTGGTTTACTTTGTTTCACGTTTCAAGAATGTTTTTGTTATTCTCTTCGTTTAAAACATCATTGAAAACCAAAGCACGTATTTGTGATTTTTAATGGAAAGTTTTATTTTGAAATGAATAAAAAAACAATATATAAATATAATAGCTTTACCAAACTAAAGTGCTAAATAACGTACAAATCGTAAAATAAGCTGATAGGTCAATAGATAAAGACGTGTCTCGATTTGATGTTAATGGATAATTTTATATACAGCTCGAAAGAAAGATGAATAAAGTTCATTTACAGTTAGAAATTAGAATATCCGATGCGTTCTTTAAAAGCTGAGAAGCCAATATGTATCTATACATACAGAAACGGCAATCATATTACTCGTAGCCGAAAGCCAACATACAGTACATCTAGTTGAATAAACGGAATTCATATTACTCGTGGCCGAGAACCAATTAACATCTAGTTGAATAAACGGATATCATATTACTCGTGGCCGAGAACCAATTAATATCTAGTTAAATAAACGGAAATCATATTACTCGTAGCCGAAAGCCAACATACATCTAGTTGAATAAACGGAATTCATATTACTCGTGGCCGAGAACCAATTAATATCTAGTTAAATAAACGGAAATCATATTACTCGTGACCGAGAGCCAATTAACATCTAGTTAAATAAACGGATATCATATTACTCGTGGCCGAGAACCAATTAATATCTAGTTAACTAAACGGAAATCATATTACTCGTGACCGAGAGCCAATTAACATCTGTTAAATAAACGGAATTCATATTACTCGTGGCCGAGAACCAATTAATATCTAGTTAAATAAACGGAACTCATATTACTCGTGGCCGAGAACCAATTAACATCTAGTTAAATAAACGAAAATCATATTGCTCGTGGCCGAGAGCCAACATGCATCTAGTTGAATAAACGGAATTCATATTACTCGTGGCCGAGAACCAATTAACATCTAGTTAAATAAACGGAACTCATATTGCTCGTGGCCGAGAGCCAACATGCATCCAGTTAAATCATATTACTCGTGGCTGTGAACAGGAATATCGAACTGATCAATAAAAGTAAAACAATCTAAAATAATTTTTAAAATATTTTAAAAACTCTTTATCTATTACTGTTAATATAAAATAATT